TGGGACATAGTCATAATTATTTGGGAAAGTTGTTAAAGACCTAACTGTCTAAAAATACGGGAATTTGCAGCATGGTGATTGCCAGGTAATCTGGGATTACTGGTCCACCCAGTTCAATGTGTCTGGTTTCTAGCAGTAGCCAGTGCAGAGAAGGAGATGCAGGAGATGCTGCGGCAGATGTGGAGCTGCTCATGTCTATCAATGTTTCATCCTAAGCCTGCAAAGAAAGAGATTGTTTTAAGCCCTGAAACACGATTTTTCCATCTCTTTTCCAATAGTCTTTTACTGCTAAGTATTTTTACTTCAGCTACTGTTGGCATTGTGCACATCTCACTTGCTCTTTGAAGCTCGCTGTGTGTGAGGATTAGAGCTTGTAGGTCACTGGAGAATTTTGTGTGCAAGCAGGTGGTGAATTTTAGCTATCCCTTGGCTTGTAACACATAAGCATAGAAACCAACTCAGTCACAGCAGATTTAGTGCCAAGACTAGGGGTCACCATTTTGCTATCATCGGTCACCTGGACAGCATGCTACAGCTGGGACTCGATCTAAGGTCTTTCTCAGCTATTGATGCTCAGTTGGGTAATGAAGGCAAAGGAAACCACAATGTCGGTGCCAGTGATAAGTTTATGTTTTCTGTTCTCTCTCTGCAAGGAATGAAGAAAGGCATGGAAAGGAAGAAAGCCGAGAGTCTCATTTTCATTAAAAGTGAGCATGACTAGTCTACATGGAAACTGATGGGGGTGTTACAACCATATTGTGGGACTATAAAGTCCAACTTTGAACTTGGAAGAAACTTTTCTCCTTGTTAGGAGAAACACATTTTGTTTATCTCTTCTATCAATCTGACAGCCACTCTGAGTGAGAGACTCTTCATTATTAATAATCCTGGGAAGTAGTATTTTAAATTTTTATGGTTTGCACTTTGCAGCACCTGAACCACAATATATTACATGTACCGTGGCAGTGAACTGGGAATTACAGCAGGGCTGCATGTCCTTTTCCAAGTGAATAATTTAAAGTTTTCACAATGCTGGTTATGTTAAATATTATTACTTATTTCTTCAGGGAAAACCATAGAGCAATAGCTCTGGAAGTGACCCCCTTACAGCAGTTCATTTCCACCGTAATGGCATTGCACAGAAGGGAATGAGGAGATGGGCATTTCTTTCACATTAGTTTGCTTTGAATTGCAGCCTACACAAGGACCCCAATTTTATACTCCCTTTCACTGGTTTCAATCAAGAATAACTCTGCTGAATTCAGCAATAGCTGCAAAACGGACAAGAAGAGGGAACAGGGATCATTCTGTTTGCTGTGGTTTGTAATAAACGCCAGTAGCTCTCCCAGGAAACCTGTCATGGTGTGAGATGAATGTACCTTGTTTGCATTGAAACAGTCGGATCCTGAGCTCTGATAGAACTGCTCTGGGGCGGCCGGTGATAAATGAACACTGATCATTGCGCTGGCTGTGGAGTCAGTGGGGTTTTTATTACTGTACATCCAACAGCAATTTAGTTAGAATTTCTGGAAGACTTTATGGCCAGGAATTTTTTTCTCAGTGACAAAATGGAAAGAAAAGGTGGAAAAGGAGTGATGGCAGAGAACAGGGGGAAGGCAAACCTTCTTTCCCACCCAACCCAAATCAGAAAACTGGAAAATGAAATCAGAGCACAATCAAAATAGCAAAACCCCAATAATGCTAAAAATATAGAAAAATTTCTTTATAAGATGAATTATTCCTTTTCTAAATTTGCACTTAGATTAATATGTTGTGCTTTTGAAAAATTCTTTTGGCCAGCTCTCATTTAAACTTGTTTCAGAGATGCTCACAACTGGCACATATATTGGAGGCTGTCAGTGTAGCAAATGCTCCACTAAAAACTGTGTGTGTGTGTGGGATGTGTGTGTGTATGAGTGTTATTACCATCTGACAGTGTTCATTCCTGTCTCTGGGTACTGCTAGGGTAGCCCAGACTGGGTGGTCTCACTACTTCAGGAGGCTCAAGGAGCGTGATGAACACCACTCAATTTCCCAAAGCCTTTGCATGGGCATCCTGACGGCAGCTTGGTGGATGGAGAGAGGGTGAACATCACTGTGAAAGTGGGATTCATGCTCAGGCTTATTTGTTTAGACCGTAGGGGACTGAACAAGAAGTAACTCTTTTCTTCTAAATGTGCACCTCTTGCCCTCAGCAAAATTGCTTTTTTTATCATTACTGCCACAATATTGAATGCTACCCCAACCCTACAGGTTTTCAGTTTTCTGTTTGTCCTTTGTCGTTTTATTTCTGTGCTCCTCTTTAAAGAGGAGACCTTACTGACTGCCCTGTCTTTCCTGTGCTGAGTAATTCCACCAGGTGTCTGACAAAGATACTTCTGGAGAGCAGATATTTAGCTTTTGCAATGCCAAAACGCATTTAGCAAAGGTACTTCTTACCTCATCTGCTAAAGCTTTTTGATACCTCTGCAAATTTCTCTGCTAAACACTGACCAGCAGGATGACTGTAGCTCTGCGCACACACATTTCACTGCTGGCACAATCAGCAAATTGTGTTTCAAGTAGCTTCTGATCTGGCTAGGGATGGAGCTTACTTATTTATTCAAGACGTGATAGACATTGCTACTGGACTTGAATCTGATGCCTTGTGAAGGGCTGTGTGGGTTTATTTTCACTGCCATGCTGTATCCCTGTAGACAGCATAATTCAAACTTTTCTGCTTCTAGGATATTGGTTGAATGTAACAACAGTTAAAAAATATCCATGAGAAAACTGGCATTAATGGCAAAGAATGGAAAAAAAATAAATTATATCTAGAAATAAGTAAGACTTCATTTTTTTTTCTTATATTCTGGATTCATGGTCTTTCCTTAAGACCTAATGTTAGAGTTTGTGGAAAAGCCCTCATGTGTATTTAAAAATATACTGCAGCTAAGATTTGTATCAAGCAGGAAGCATGAATTTGGGAGAATTGGATATTGTGACTGGTAGGTTTGAAAACAGAATGAGTGCAATTTCTAAAGACTGCTTGGCAGGTGTTGATGGCTGATGCTCTGTAATTTACTGTACTGGGTTTAGAAAAGGCCCGTGAGAAGAATGGAAAGCTAGGGGCCAGCTGCATGGAGGCCTGAGTGCACTTGCCTGCTTTTGAGTGAAAAAATGAGGTTATTGCTTGTTCATGACTCAGAGCTGACCTGGGCCAGTTTGTCTTGGCTGGAGAGGGAGCTTTGCATTATTTGGTCCACAGTTTGCCAGACTGCATTTCAGAGCTTAGTGGGGTTTGATTCAATAGTAGGTTCAGAGTAGGGGTATGGTTCATCCCAAACCCACCGAATCAAGCTTGTTCCTGTGTGTCATTTTTCATCATCTGTTTTGTGTCATCAGAAATCCTGAGTTCCAAAATGCTCATATAAATGTATTTGGGTGGCCTTTTGTCCCCTGTTCTTCCGAAGTCTTAATACTGCAAATGCTACTGTAATAAATATTATTGAGAGGGATTTGCTGAAGGATGTAAATATTCATCAGTCTTTAATGATTTGCATTTGAATCCAGAAAATTGGCTTATGACTCCTCACTGATTTTCTCTCACTCTGATTTTCACATGGCATTAAGTGCGGGAGGATTAAATACCTGGGCTTTTCTCTGGTCCAAATGAGACTTTGCTATCTTCATTTGGAAATAAGTTCTTCATTAGCTGGTAACTCAACCTTGTGCATCACTTAATCTTTTTCAATCCTGCAAGATTTTTTGTTTCTAACAAACAGCTTTAGGATCACTCTTGTCACTGTCATATGAACCAGTCACCACTCCTGGAGTATTTAATTTTCACCTTGGCAAGGCTGACGGCTGTGTAGTCCTGCAGTTCGGAATGGGACGTCAAAAGGTGGAATTGTTGGCCCTAGGATTGAGAGCTTCGATATTCTTTCTATCCTTTTGTGTTTAACCTATCCAAACCTTGCAAACCATACCAAACTGTTGTATGCTTTGTGGACCTTGCCCCTCAGTTGGGAATCCTGTGCAGAAGCGCAGTGGTAGTGTGTGCTCACAACCACAGCCCCCCTCTCTAGGGACAAGCTCCAACTCTTGGCCAGTGCTGAAGACAAGGCTATTTTGTCTTCTTTTGCATTTTCCAGCTAGACTAGGATAGTGTGGCTATGCTGGCATGCTCTCACAATGCTATTTAGCTGCATAGGCTCATGGATGGGTGGTCTTTTATGATTCTCGTGTATAATGGGATGGATACGCTCACTCCTCTGGAGGCCTGTTAGTTTCAGAGTACAGCCCCAATGCTCATCCCTTCTGGGAGCAAGTGGCATCAGGTGTTACCTTTTCTGTGTTTGCAGTGGGTGCATCATACCCAAAATATTTAGGGTCATTCTAGATTACAAGTAAATTCAATGTAGATTGACAAAGCAATTCTGGTAATTTGACCATACCCTTCAAAGGCCACTTACGGCTTCTCCATTGGCGTAAGATGCCTCATTTTTATAAGATTAGTAGGACCTGGATTAGTCAGCAAATGACACGGATCTTCTGGGGAAAACCCAAGATGATAGTATGAGATTAATATTGATAATCTGGAGCCTGAATAAATGAGACACCAAATGGCCTAAATTTAAATTGGCTTCAGTGGAACTTGTTAGGACAGGGCTTTTATAAGTGAGGCTCTTCTGTAGGATGGGCTATTATTCTGCGTGTTCTGCCTGTTGAATAAGATTTAAAAATTATATGCCTAGTCCTAAACAAAAGTGGGTGTCAAACATTTTGCTGTCAGCTCTTTTAAGACGCAATGTGAAAAGCTCACTGTCCTAGGTCTGTGTATCTGCCTGTCTATTTATTTGTCTGTCTTAGTTCCTGAAGGTATGATGAGTTTGTGTTAATTTATGGTTCTAAGATACTTGTATAGGTCCAGGGGATAGTTTATATAGAAAAGCTTAGATAACAAATAAACAAAAAAGTATATTGTGTGCAGAAACCTTAAAAGTGTTGATATTTTCCAGGTAATTGTGAAAACAAGAACAGAATATCAGCCTGACCAGAAGAACAAAGGAAAACTCAGAGTGCCCAAAATTGCTGAATTCACAGTCAGTTTCACTGATGGTGTAACAGAAAGACTAAAGGTAAGAAATGGTTATTCTGCTGCCTTCTGATGCAAATGCCATTCATTTTAAAATAACTGAATCAAAGTGACAGTAAAGACATAACAGATTTAACACTCCACTCATCACTAGGGTCAAAGAGAGGTTTATCTGCATGAATATAAAGCTCTTTTTTTTTTTTACAACAGGCATGAAAATACCCTCATAACTAGATCTAAAGTAGGAAATGTTTTCCCAGGAAAAGTTGTGAAAATATTTTCCAGCCAAGTCTATTTTCCAATATTTTCCAAACAAGTTTAAATTTTTTTCTTTTCAAACTTTTGTGTTTAAAAAGAATTTAAAAATCACAGTGAAGATTGATTGAAACAGTTTGTTTCGCCTTTTAAAAATTCTTTTGTCTTGTAGTGAAACAACCCTTTTCGTATTTAAAATATTGTATTGTTATACAATTATATTATTATAGATTAAAACCAGTTCAAACTGGATAAAAAAGAGATATTAGGCAAGTATGCAAGCATATCCTGTCCTGTAAGCAGTTTCGGTTCACAAGAATTGGAATTTTCTGATGAAAAATGCTTCCTTGAGAAATTTTCAACAGGCTCTACTCAAACATGAAAACTCATGAATTATTGAGTGCCCTCAGTTCCTGTTGACTGCAGCATATTAGAATGGCTCAGTTCCTCCTAAAATTAGACTCCAAGTGTGTAGCTGCTAGTATTTTGTCTATTTTCATTGAGAAGATATGATGTTTTTCCTAAACCACAGAGCATGTGAGTGATAAAAATGTGAGATCTGATTTCACATTTCCAAAGTCAGAGGAAATATCAATGGTTTGAGTAGAAAACAGAGAGAGTAGGCAGTGCCTAGCTATATTCCTGCTCCTTGAAAAGCTAGGATTCGGCTTGTAAATTTTTGTGAGAGTATCGTCCTCGACAATTAACAGGAATTGACTCAAGGGACTGAATAGTCTTTCATTTGGCCCAGTTGTTCTTAGTTTTGCAAGAAATAAAAAAGTTCATTATAATTATTTTCCAGTAATTTAGAAGAAAGCTATCACTTTTAAAATTGGAATGTGATTCAGGAAAAATTGTTACCATTCATCCTCGATGAGCTTGATAATAAGCCTTGTTCAATTTATTGAAAGGAGAAATGTTTAGCTACTCTCTTGTGAAGCACTGCGGAATGGCACTGTTTCTGTTTTTTCCAGAAATTCACTAACATATATTTCACAAGGACAATTCTCTTGCTTTCATCCAGGATATTTAAAGCCATAATTTATTCTTAAGAGGTCTGTGAATAAATGTTTCTAGCTTCTTGGGTTTTTTTTCAGTGGACATCACATGTTTTTATTTAAATTACTTACCAGGGGCTTACATGCTGTTGATTTTGACTGAGTTCTTCACTGATCTTATTGCATAGTACTGATTTACCACCAATAGTGACTCTCCATTAGTACCACTAGTAGAGTAAACAGCGAATTAGCCACAGTTAAATCCCCAGTCTTGGAAACCGCCACAGACATTTTCCAGTGTAAGCAATGTACAAATCAGAACCAGACACAATATGCCTGAGAAACAACAGTAAATGTAGGGTCTCCTGGAACTGATGTGTTGGCTTGTGACCCAGAATAAATGGCATTGTTGATATCGTAAGCAACGGTGCTTCACTGGGTATTTAAAACTTAATCCTGCAGCCCTGAACAGTGTTAAGGTCAGTGTACAACCAAGTTTTAATCCTGTCAACCGCTCTGTCCTTGTTATTTAAAAATGCAATCAAGAACATCTCATCCTTACACACTGTGTATGCCGGAGGCCCCTAAGTTAGGTATCTAGCTCATCCAGTGCTGTGGATAAATCTCGTTTCACCTGCTCCTTCTGTAGAGTATTTGATTTTTCCCATTCTTCAAATGCCCACCTTGCTGTTGCATTCAAACCTCCCCTTTCAGTGTATTTTTTCCTCTGCCCTTCCTATTTTTGGTGTGGTTCTCCCAGCAGCAGGTGCAGGGCAGCTGGAGGCTCCAGCGGTGTGCACGGCTCTGGCAGAGGTTTAAGCTGCCTTCCCCTTTGCTGCACCGTGGGGATGGCTGTGGGAGCTCTGCCTCTTCCTATGGAGCCTAGCAGCATGATAGTTTAATTTTTAAGCTATTTCCTTTCCCTAAAGTCCATATGATTTCCATTCTCTGCTCTTCAATGTCAACTTATTAATCACTCAGCCTCTTTTCTAATACTGGATAAGACTATAAGCCTCTCCCTGTCTGCTTTTCATAAGGCTTCCATGTATCGTATTAAGTTTGTAGTATTATTTCCTGACAAAATTGAGCTGAGATAATAGGTAATATTTCATTACCTTTTGTACTTTTTTTTATTGCACCACATTTTTGTACCAGTGCATATTTTTAGTGAAGCTATTAAAAATACTGCCCTCTGGTTATAAGCAGGCCTATTACCTGGTACTGATGAAATCATTTTACATTTGTTTTTTGTAAAAGGAAATCATAGTAAACACTTAACTTTTATTATCTGAGTTTGGCTACACTTTTAAAAGCTTAAAAAAAGATAATATAGATGAGATCATCATATTTTCTTTTGCTAGCTGGTTGCTTTGTATAGCCTTCCAGTATGTAGTGCATTGGAAATACGCACAACATCTTGCTAACACGCTGATTAAAATTAGAGTATTCATCTATACTTGAGCCAAGCTGTTGGTAGCTGTATACTGTCAGAAGCAAATAAATCATCCTATTGATTTCTGCAAGAGAAATGATGGGGGGAAAGACCAATAGTCCATCCAAGTGTAGAAGATCCATTGGTTTAATGCACTCCAAATATGTGAGAGCTATATGGGAAATGCATATACAACTAATGTGAGTCCACAGCAATGCTTGAATTCAAGGGGTTTCATAGGGAGCCATTTTGCTACTACAGCTCTACTAATCTGTGTATGAGAAGCAATACGTCTCAGCATGTGGTCCCTGTATGTTGGGGAAAGAGACGGGACAATAAGACGATGCAAAGAAATAGCCAAGAGGTCCTCTCCTATCTGCTACTGGAGAATACAAAGTGACATGTCTTGTATTTAATTTTTCACCCAAACGGTTGAATTATCATCAATTCAAACAGAAATATGGCAAAGTGAGTATCATTAATGAGTGTGTGTGGAAAAATGCTGCTGGATTCCATTTATGACACTGCTCCCCACCCACTAATAACCTCTCTGGAGAGGTTTTTAACATTTCTGTTTCAGTCTATGAAGTGCTTTTCTTTTTCTTTCCTCTCTACTTCTGGTCACTTGGTATGGGAATGTTCTCAGGGAAGAAGGAAACTCTTCCCAAGTTCTTGGGTTTTTTTCTGAGTCAAATAGCTGCATTATACAGAAGAGCTGGATCTCTGGGGGAAATTCTAGCACCATATGAACATGGCAGTCAAATCCACAGATGCCCTTTGTTCTGCCTTTTGGGTATCTTTTATTGAAGAGGCTAATGAATTATTAGGCAACTTTCTCGCATGAGCAAGCCAAAGCCAGAATTTAAGCTTATGCATGCATATTTTTCATCCATCCAGATTAGCACAGATCTGAGCTCTTTAATTATGGTAGAGACTGTCCCTAGGCAACGGTTCTTATTTCATGCTACCTCTTCCAGGAATTTTAGATAGCTTCTGCAACTTGTCACATCTCCTAATAGATGAGATTATGATTCTCTATAGCTCAGCACACAGTGTCCTGGAAGTTTGACCAATTAGGCTTATTCTTCAGCTGGATGAGTCACCTCATACATACTTTATAACAAATGTTTAAATAGTTGTGTGTAGATGGGTTACAAGAAAATGATGTTAAAACAGCATGATGGTTGAGCCATCCATACATAAAAGAAATTTCTTTTATCGTTTTACTCCTCCACAGAGAAGCAATGACAACATTTTTTGTAAGCTGGCTGGCAGTGATTTATAGACCTTGCCTCCTCCACACTGTTTATGCCTTTGGAGTGTGTCCCTTTAGGAAGTTTTTGAATTGCAAAGGTCTTACTTTGCTGTAATGATGTCTACCAAGGTTTCTCAAGTCTGCAGGGGAAAGGTGTCTGGTGTCTGCCTTCCATTTTGCAAGCTTTGAAGGTAGCTCCTGTTGCCATGCTTTGCCATCCAGTGATGACACCAAGGTGAATTAGAAAAGGTCTGCAAATGTGATGACTCTATCATGTTCCTTTGTGGGACAACAGGTCTAACCCTTTGCATTTGAGATAGGGCTGACTGCTTCTTTTTGCCAGTGATATCCTATGTTATAACTTTTAAGAACAATCCCTCATAGGGGAGTATCATCATTCCTGTGAGATTCTGCCCTTGTTTCTGTCAGTATGAAATGAGATCAACTGCTCTTTTGCTTTTCAAGCAGATTATCCATTGAATGAAGTCTTGTTACTTCTGGAGGACAGGATTTCCTCTGACTCCTTTTGTCTTCCAACCAGTCCAGATAACACAGAAATCAACCAGAAGCATTTACAAGGTGAAGAGTGGTTTTCTATCCACTTTGACTGTCACGTAGCTGAAGCTTGTGTTCAAGACATCAGCACCCTGCTTGAGAAGAAAGAAGCTGGAGAATAGTTGCTGATGGGTTTAGTGCTTGATCCAGTCAGACCCAGTGAGTGCAGGTAGACCTGTGCAAGCCCAGAGTTTGCCCAGATTTTTCTAGCTCCAGATAGCACCAGAAAAGGTACTGGAGTGGTCTTTCAGCATAGGCTAACAACAATGAGCGTCGGGTTGACACACGTAACTGCCTTGTCAGTTCCTAGTTTGTGCAAATTGCTCTCTTTATTACACAAGTAAGTTCACGTGCAACCAGTTTGACCTCTGTTACCACTAAATGCCATAGAGCTATTCATTACTGCCTTTCCAAGGACACAATAATTTAATGACTATTAGCTGAGTGGTAGTTATCTACCATAGTTATATGACTTCTAAGAAAAGTTGAACTTACCGGTCTTTCAGAGTTGG